AACAGGTAACTTGTAAGCATATACAGGCCTTTGGATTCCTTACTTAGGGATGATGTCTGGTTTAGTTTTTATGAAGCAACATACTTTTCCTGTTCTTGGCAGTAATTAAAAATTCAGAATATATTACAGTAAAGCTGAAGGTGCAACAAAGGTGATTATATCATAACTCCAAGTGACCACAAATGCAAATAGATTCTGTGGCACCGAGTGCTCTGCAAATGCATGTATACATATCTGCTTTCCTGGAGCACATTTTCATATTGAGTACAATCCAGAGGCAGAGAAGTGTGCATAAATTCTCCATTAGAATCATATGATCCTATGCCCTTCAGTGTGCACTTAAAATGCTTTATCGTAATGGACCTTTATTTATAACCTCTGTAGAACTTCTGAATATATACTGTTATATCAATTTTATTTCACTTATTCTCGCAACATATACATTAAGATGTAATGCTACAGAGTACAGTGGCCCTAAGGTTCAACATTAGGGCTGGAAAAATTCTTCATTCATCATATTTGAGATCTAAAAAGGCATTCAGTCCAAACTTATGCACATTCACAGAAAATCAAGGTCCACTATATTCAGTTGACTTTGTTTGTTGTTTATTCATTCAGTTGTTTCCAACTCTTCGTGGTCTAATGGACCAGCCCATGGCAGAGCTCCCTGTTGGCCATAGCTACCCTCAGCTTCTTCAAGGTCAAGCCAGTCACTTTAAGGATAACACCCATCCATCTTGCCTTTGGTTGGCCCCTCTTCCTTTCCCCTTCTATTTTGACCCATTTCATAGTAAATATACATATAGGACTTCAGTCTAATATTCAATTTACCTAGATGGATCTTTGCAGAATTGTTTGTTTGGTGCCCTACTGACCTTCTGGAAGTGAAGTATTTACAGGTATCCATGTACTTCTTCATTTCACTTATCTCACATCCTTTGTATCCTACAGGGAATATCTGTTTCCTATGTGAATCAATGAGTAGTCTTCCAAACACTTTCCAGGCTGCTGGTGGTTCAAATCAAAGCTGAGTTTTATAAAAGTATTGTCCAGTTTGAGAATTTATAGCAGTTCAATTATGTCTGTTTACATTCAGAAGAACACATAAAAGCAATCTACTTTCTCTCTCACACACACACACATACACATACACAGAGGACTCTGCTAGGGCTCAGTTCTAGGACCTCCATGGATACTAAAATCCATGGATGCTCAAGTCCCATTACATACTGTACACAATGGCATCATAAAATGGTATCCCTTATATAAAACATTAAAATTAATGTTTGCTTTTTGGATTTTTCATTGAATATTTTCAAGCTGTGGATGGTTGAATCTGTCAACACTGGGAGCTGAGTGGGAGCACACCACTCCACTGGCTGCCTATATGTTTCTGGGCCCAATTAAAACTTATAGAGCCCTACATGATTCAGGTCCAGCTTATTTGCTTGACTGCATCCCCCCTTATGAACCAGATTGAGCCCTGAGGTCCACAGGGGAGGCCCTCCTATTAGTCCCACCCCCATTACAAGCATGGCTGGAGGGAACGAGAGAGAGGGCCTTCTCAGAGGGGCCACATTAGTGCAGCGGGGTAAAGCAACAGCTGCAGAAAATCTGCTGACCAGAGAGCTAGCAATTTGAATCCACGAGTTGGGGTGAGCTCCTGGCTGTCATCCCTAGCTCCTGCCTACCTAGCAGTTTGAAAGCATGTAATCCAAGTAGATCAATAGGTACTGCCTTGGTGGGGAGGTAAAAAGGTGCCCCATGCGGACATGCCAGCAACATGATCAGAGAGGTCTGTGGGTAACAGACTCCTGCGCATGGAAAATGGAACAAGAGCACCTCCCCATGGCTGGAGTTGAGCATCGTCTCCAGACACCAGAAAGGAAGGGAAGGCCTTTACCTCTGTGTATTGTATATCATTGACTGTGTTAAAAGGCATTGAACCATAATCCACTCTGAGTCCCTCCAGGGAGATAAAGCGGAATCTAAATAAAGTGTATTATTGTTACCTCCCTGGCTCTGGAATGTCCTTTCCAAGGAAATTTGATTGGCTCCCTCCTTGGCTCTGGAAGCAGGGTTTTGGAGACGATCAGCCTTAAATGGAAATATTTTAGTAAGATTGATTGTTTTAACATTTTTAATGCTTTTATTCCAGTAAGAGCAGCTATTTTTGATGTTGATTGCGTCCCATCTGGGAGAGGGGGCGGGACACAAAATAAAACTTCTTGTTGTTGTTGTTGTTGTTATTTTAAAGGATACCATCTGAGAAGTGGCATTCCTTCCTCCAGCAAAAAATAAAGGCAAATATTTCTTCTAAAGATGACATCGACCACCTGCAGTTTTGAAGAAGTACTTGTTTTGAAATAGTTACTTGAAAAAAAATCTGTTTAATCAATTAGGAACATATTTTTAATTGCTTTAAAGATTTCTAGTCTGTTAATGAACTCAGTGGTGAATGAATTTAATGAGGGAATGTGGCTCTCCACCAACAGAGAAAAGGCAGCCTTAATTTCCACTTTTGGTTTCCACAGATACATTCTGCCAGACTTAAAGACAGGTGAATGCTGTTGTCCTCTAAAGCTACAATCCTAAATAGTGAGTGATCCCCTTGGGATGTTAGGGGACCTTATGTAGGCTTAAATTGTGCAGAACAAAGTATTTTGCATGTCAAATGCACACCTAGCTTCGCCATAGGATTGGTCTTCAAGAATCTATGCATGTTTAGGTAACCAGAGTGGTGTAGTGGCTTGACTGTTGGACTACAATGCTGGAGACCAGGGTTAAAATCTCAGCTTGAAATCCACTGGGTGAACTTAGGCAAGCCACACTCTCTCAGCCTTGGAGCAAGACGATGGCAAAACTCTTCTGAATAAGGAAATCCTATGATAGGTTCATTTTAGGACCGCCATAGATTGGAAATGCTTTGAAGGCAGTGTTACCAAACATCAAACATTTGGATGCTGACTTGGGTGTGTGTAAGGAGGGTGCATGAAATATTTAATTTAAAAGGCACCTTTCAGAGCCGAAAATATGACCCTGGGCTTCTTAAACTTTTTCCAACCATGACCCCTTTCTACCTGAGAAACTTTTATGTGACTCCAGGTATAAGATATATGAAATAGCTATAAAAATCAAATATTTACTGATAATTAAAAATCAACATTTGCAAGGTGCACGAAACAGGGTGATTTTCTTGTTGATGGAGTACAGGTGAGCATTTTCTACAGTGATCCATTCTAAACACTGCTTATTTATTTCGTATCAAAAGCATTGCATAAATTAGTATAAAACTGATAAAAATAGGAGCGCAGGCGGCTAATTATCTTTTGACCAAAAGCGGGCAACAACAATGGCATTGTCTGTAGCCTCCAACAATTCTTTCTTTGTACATGAGGCAGGGCACAATGGACAAGCATACAGATGCAGAGTTGTCTGTTCTGCTCCACAGTCACACAAGGTGTGTGATTCTTTCTGCCAGGTTGTCTTTGGATCTGCCCACTTCACTTCTGAGTCTGTTCAGGGACTTCCAAGTTGCCCATTCTTGGTTTGCCCCTGGGGGAAGACCTCGTGGGGGGCCATCCAGTTGGGATTTTCTGGTTTAGCCGCCCAGAGGGATACCCTTGCTGTTACTGGGGGATGCCAAGAGTAGTGGTAGTTCTCATGAAGCTTTTCCTTGATTTGAGTCTACTGGGAGGAGGCTGGTAGCATGCAGTGGGTGGCTTTCACCGTGTTCAACCTTATTTCTCTCACATTTAGCAGCAACTTCCCGTCGCACATGGGGGGGGGGGGGCAATGCCAGCTAGCTTGTAGAGTTTATCAACAGGTGTAGGTTTAAGACATCCTGTGATTATTCTGCATGTTTCATTAAACACTATGTTCACCTGCTTCCACTACTCCTCATCACTCGGCAGTTGAGTAAGACAAGGCTAGGGCTGATGTTCTTATTAATTTTGGGCCTGCACCCCATGTGCTGCCAGTAAGTTTCTGCAGGATGTTATTGTGTGCAGCTACTTTGTGTTTGGTGTGCAAGCAGTGTTTCCTATATGCTAGTGTTTGATCTAAGGTGACACCGAAATATTTAGGATGGAAACAATGTTCAAGCTCTGCTAACAGATTTGTGTAAATAAGTGGCATTCAGAAACCTTTGACTGTTGCCAAAGTTTTCATGACCCCAACATTGAGCCAAGGGACCCTGTTTGAGATTGAGAGCCACCATTTAAGAAGTCTAGACTTGGGTGGCTGTCCTCATTCCCCACTGCAGAAGGAAGTGGCTGAGGGTGAAAAGGAAGGGGCCTGAAGCTGTGAGGAATGGTGTGCGTTGGAGTCCAAAACACCTGGAGGGATGACCCAAGTTGGCCCATGCATGTGCTATCTTGCCCCACTCATTTGCATATGGTTTCTGATTGGCCAGCCTCAACATTCTCACCCTCTGAAGCGGCTGAGGGGGGAAAGGAAGGGGCCTGAGGCTGTGAGGAATGGTGGGAGTTGGAGTCCAAAACACATGGAGGGAAGACCCAAGTTGGCCCATGCATGTGTAATCTTGCCCCACTCATTTGCATATGGTGTCTGATTAGCCAGCCTCAACATTCTCACATTCTGAAGAGGCTGTGAGGAATGGTGGGCGTTGGAGTCCAAAACACATGGAGGGAAGACCCAAGTTGGCCCATGCATGTGTTATCTTGCCCCACTCATTTGCATATGGTGTCTGATTAGCCAGCCTCAACATTTGCACACTCTGAAGCAGCTGAGGGGGAAAAGGAAGGGGCTGAAGCTGTGAGGAATGGTGGGCGTTGGAGTCCAAAACACCTGGAGGGAAGGCCCAAGTTGGCCCATGCCTGGTGTAGAAGAACCCGAGGAGGTAGTACAAGGGAGCTCCCCTTCTGGCACCGCCTATCCTTCCAGCCTGGCTGCGGCCGGGGATCTTCCGCGAGTGGCAGGCAGCGCCCTGGAGGCTGCGAAGCAAGGTGTGGGCCGTGCTTCTTCCTCGAGGCGGGAGGCGGGGCCTGTGCTGCGCGTGACGTGGGCTCCCGAGGAAGAAGAAGAAGAGGAGGAGGAGGAGGAGAAGGAAGAGAAGGAGAAAGCCCCGAACTTGATTCCAAGCCTTGCACAAGCCTGTCCTTTCTCGGAAGAAAGACTTAAGGGAGAGTGGGAAAGGGAAGGCAAGTAAGGAAAGGGAGAGCACGCCATGCCCTCGCTCTGAAAGAGAAAGAGAGCGGGAGAAGGAAAGAAAGCCCCCGATGCCCACTGGCGAAGGAGGAGCGCGTGGAGAGGGGCCTTTGGGCAAAGAGGCTCCCCTGGCCCTGGAGCCTGCCTCTTGACTGGTCCCCGCCCAATCCCGAGGCCCCTTTTTCTCCGGGCGCAGGTGACACACCCTCCCGGTTTCCGCCCCTTTCCTCCTGCCGCCCGACGCCCTTCGTGCAGGGAAGAAGAGGGAGGGCAAGGAAGGAAGGGAGAGAAGGAGAAGAAGAAGGAGAAGAAGGAGGGAAAAGGGGGCAACCCATGCCGGCGGAGGGCGAGGAGAGGAGGACGAGGCGGAGGCGGAACTGGTTTGGTCTCTCTGCTCCGGAGTGAAAAGGCATCATCCAGCGGCAGAAACCAGGCACCAAGCCGAGCCATTCCCGGTGGCTGCTCCTTCTCCTCCTCCTCCTGCTTCTCCTCCTCCCTTCCCCAGCTCTGAAAATCAAGCAAGGAGAGCTCGAAGGGCTGCGGGCTCAGCTTCCCAACGATGTCCTCTCAAGCCAAGTTCAAGAAAGACAAAGAGATCATCGCGGAGTATGAAACTCAAGTCAAAGGTGCGTCTTGCCTTGGCGTCCTCCCTCCCTCCTTCCCTCCTTGCCCCTGTGGTCCCTCACTCAGCCTTCCTCTTCATCGCTCATCTCATGGTGGAGCCTGGCATCCTCGACCTCTTTTGCAAGCCGAGAGGTTGTGCGTGTGTGTCTTTCTCTCTCTGTGTGTGGATTTGCTACGGGGCTAGCCAGAGCTGCATTGCAGCTGTGTGAATGGGTTCTCGATTTGTGTGTGTGTTAGGTAAGGTTTAGAGGCAGATGGATAGATCCCCAGTTGTTTCCCCTCCTCTCCTCTCCATCTCTCCTTTCCATCCCCATTGTGGTGCATCCATCTGCAGATCCTCTCTCTCCAGGGTGGATTGGCATGTTGCCTTTGGTGAGGGTGGAGGCGTGGAGGCTTGGAAAAAGACCCCCCTTCTGCAAAAGGCTCCCTCAAGTGATGCTTGTTTTACCCCCCAACCCCCCCCCCCCCACCTTAAGTAGCATTTAGGGAAGGGCATCTTATCTCCCTGGGTGTCTGTGCAAGGGAGGATATTTTCAGCACTCCTCTTTTCTTAAATTATTCAGGTTATATATACATACATACATATTTATTCTCATTTACTTGAGCACTCAAGTCATTTCACTCAAGGGAGTGGGAAGGGCTCGCCAGTGAGGTTCAAAGCAAACAATTCCTGGGTTAGTGTGAGTTTTCCAGGCGGTATGGCCATGCTCTTGAAGCATTCTCTTCTGATGTTTCACCTGCATCTGTGGCAGAGGTTGTGACATCCACACACACACACAATCTGTGGATATTCCATTGATATACAAACCCCACTTGCCTAGTTTCCAACAGACTTCACAACCTCTGAGGATGCTTGCCATAGATGCAGGTGAAACATCGGGAGAGAATGCTTCTGGAACATGGCCATACATGTAGCCCAGAAAACTCACAGCAACCCAGTGATTCTGGTCATGAAAGCCTTCAACAGTATAAGCAATTCCTGCTAATACAGGAAGCTGGCAGCATTTAGGCTGATTTAGGTGTATTTCTAGGGCTGGTTCTACACTGCCAAATAATGCTCAGCATAAAGCCACATCATTCAGTTTGAACTACATTGAACTGCATTATAGAGTTCTCCATTGACCATCTAATGCAGTGTAGAACCAGCCTGGGTCACCAAACCTTTGCCGCTCAGACACACCCTTGGGGGAAGTGCTGCTTTAAGAGGGTGGCATCATATAGCTTGTTTTTTGGTGTAACCTTTACTACTGTCACTGTCTTTTCTGTGTTAAGCAACACCCCAGGCAGAACATAAAACCACAATTTTCATTGCATTTCTTGTGTTGAAGCAAGCATTTGAGAGCATATATAATACAATATTATATATACACACACATATACATGTGGTTGATTTTTTTTCTCCCTTTCCTTACTGAGAAACCAAGGCCCCTGAGATGTAATAACCTAAACATGGAGCTGGCTGTGCACCAGGCATTGTACTGCTTGCAAAGGGGCTAATATGACAGGCGTTATCAGCATCCACTTATGTGTTCCTAATCCTCGGATTGTCGAGGGAGTTAATGCTGAAAGAGCAGCAGTTTGGTCCCTTCTCCAGACATAGACGTTGTGTTGATGGGGAGTAGTGCCAACATGGTGTAAAAGAGGTTTTGGTGGAAAGTTTGGTTGCTGATATATCACTGAGTACCATCCGTCTCCTCTTCCCTGTTATTGATCCAATTTTAATGTGGCTGTGGCAGCGTACGCAGCAAGCTTCAGCCTTGCAAAACTGTATTGATGCTCTTCTGAAAACCAAGAGGTTTATTTTTGGGAAGGGGAGGGGGAAGGGAAAGCATGAATAATAAGGTGTATTCTTCAACAGCTCTAATGACATACAGAGCAAGCAAGGATTGGGCTGCTGTGCCTCTCTAGATGGTGTTGGCATTTAATTCAACCTCAATACCCAATAGCCAGGGGTGAATGAATATATACAACATATTTCGAGGGTCACAGTTTTCTCACCTCTGATACATTATACTGTACAAAAATAAAACTTTTCAGGCTGGTGCATGGATTTTGCAGCATAGATTGATGTATGTAACTGGTTGTGTGCAGAAAAGGGAGGCCTGCCGTTCAATCAAAATGGCTTGACTCCATGTAGGGAACAGCTGAATCTTTGCTCTGCATACTCTGTGACAGAAGAGAATACATAAACGAGCCTCTGCAGATGCCGTTCCATTTTACTCTCTAGAATACAAACAAAAACCTGGCTCTCTTGATTTGCATGGAAGTCCCCCCCCCCCATTAAAATCCAGGAAAGCAAGATCTTTCTGGTTACCATGAAATACAAGTTCTCTTATCTCTTGCAATTGTTTATGGGTGTCCTCTACTAGTTCCTGCAGGAAACTTCTCAATCTGCTGCTGTTGTCATAATATTGTGCTTTAGTCAGCGGTTACTTCAGAGCCAGTAGCTGAGTGGCTTGCAGCATTCATTCTGTATGTGTGGGTTCACTAAAGGCTGCACACCATTGAAAATAGGGCTCAATCGCATTTTAATCTATGAATACATTTGCTTAGAAATGATGAAAGTGGGGTGCATGTGGGATAGAAGTCCTATCAGTAGAGCACACTTTCAAAATCAAATCAAATACTAATTGTGCCACAGAAATAAGACCAGGACATTCTTTCGGCTGCAGAACTTAGATTGGCGAGTTCCACACCCTATTGTGTCCCAGAGTCCAGCCATATAACCCAGAATATCAAGGGAGAAAATCACACAATATCTGCTTTGAATTAGGTTACCTGAGTCCACTTTGCCATATATTCCAGTTCATAGCAGAAAATGTGGGATTTTGTTTAGTTGTGTGGAAAGGCCCCCAGATGATTTAAATAGATTTGTCCTCTACTTGCATTAGTAGAGTTGGGGGTTGCTCTTGACTTTTAATTTTATGCCTTTGTATGCGCACTCTACATTCTTAGTATTTTCATTGCAGGCTTTGAACACTGATTGGCTGTCACCACGCATACTGCTGTGTGCCAATTATCATCTGCTTGCATAAAATTCAGACAGTATTATTGTGGCCTATATCACAATCTGATGTGGTGGACTAGGATTTTTGTTTGGAGACATCCAGAGAAAGAGATCCCACCATCTCTCTAGGTCAGTGGTTCTCAACCTTCCTAATGCCACAACCCCTTAATACAGTTCCTCATGTTGTGGTGACCCCCAAATTATTTTCATTGCTATTTCATAACTGTAATTTTGCTACTGTTATGAATCATAATGTAAATATCTGATATGCAGGATGTATTTTCATTCACTGGCCTGAATTTGGTGCAAATCCTTCATATTCTCAAATTTGAATATTGATGGGGTTGGGGGCATTGATTTTGTCATTTGGAAGTCGTAGTTGCTGGGATTTATAGTTCACCTACAATCAGAGCATTCTGAACTCCACCAACGATGGAATTGAACCAAATTTGGCACTCAGAACTCCATTCACCAACATAAAATACTGGAAGGGTTTGGTGGGCATTGACCTTGACTTTTGAAGTTGTAGTTCACCAACATCCAGAGAGCACGGTAGACTCCAACAATAATGAATCCAATGGACCAAACTTGGCACAAGTACTCAATATGCCCAAATATGAACACTGGTGGAGTTTGGGGGAAATAGATCTTGGCATTTGGGAGCTGTAGTTGCTGGAATTTATAGTTAACCTACAGTCAAAGAGCTCCTTGAACCCCACCAATGATAGATTTGGGCCAAACTTCCCACACAGAATCCTCCTGATTAACAGAAAATACTGGAGGTATTTGGGAGGAATTGACAGTCATTTAGGGAGATGTAGTTCACCTACCACCGGAGGGCACTGTGTTCCTAAGACCACCAGAAATATGTGTTTTCTGATGGTCTTTGGTGATCCCTCTAACTCCCCTCTCATGACCCCTCCATGGGTCCTGATCCCCAGGTTGAGAAACTCTGCTCTAGGTCATTGATTCCACAGCCGATCAACTCTTACTACCATATAACTCTTACTACCTCCTATAATTGAAATTGTTAGACTTGGACCTTTCCTCTGGGGCAGACTTTTAGTCTTCTCTTCACTAAGTTGAAAGCGTCCACTTTCTTGAACTTTCTTGAACTTTTCCTCTTTTCATCATCGTTGCTGTGCTCTGATTTCACCCCACCTTTTTATATCCTTCTAGAAATCTGTCATCCAGAACTGGACTTGCAGCCAGTGGCTCAGGGACTGGAACTGGTTTCAGGGCCTACCACTTTGAGTAGCACAAATTTTATATGGCTTTATATGGCTTTAACTACATGTGTTCTTTGGATGGATGACAATATCTGAGATTAAAATAGTTGAAGTGAAGATGCAGCTTTTCTGATGCCCTGTCTTGAGGCTGCAGTATGAAAATAGGAAGTGAGAAGGCAAGCTAGTTTATATCTGTTTACTTCAATGTGTCCTTGTCATTGTTGGTTGTAATACCACCTCTTGTGGTTTGAACCTGGGCTCTAGAATAGCAAGCACCAGTTGTCAGATTCTGGGAGAACTTCCTGTCTCAGGTCAATGTGACTTTGAATATTAACGATCATGGTATTTGCCATATCTGATGTGGATAGCAGTCTTGAAATCAAAGTTAATTGTCATGATATTTTCCATATTCCATACCTGTTGCAAAGAAGTCAGTGACCACTCCCATAGTACATAATGGAGAAGCATGCAAAGTGGTGTCACCATGGGACAGTCAGAAGTATAATGGCATCTTCCTGCACCAGTTGAGTCCTTGCAATGCGTTCCCACCTGTGATCAACAATGGTGGTGTGCTGGTAGGGAGACACAAGTTAAAAGTTCCAGTCTGTGCAGTGAGGTGTCTGGTTGGGTATACCATTAGGGTTGTGGCATAAGTCACATAATCTTTCCCTCCCTCTTGTGCTGGACATATCTTTTCCTTAATTCTCATCTGTCACCAACAGGATATACTGCACTTGACATATTGACAAATGCACTTGATATATTG